TTGTTACCAGAACTTAAAAGTGCATACTAAGAAAACCTGGACTTAAATGTCCTTAATTTGTGTATCAAATGAATCTCCTTGGAGGAAGATGTCCTCAGTGTAGTGTCATACCTGGGCTCCTGGAGGTAGGTTCATTACGATCTTCTCCGCTGTATGTGACCAAGCTGTGGAGGCCCCCAGAGGCAGCCTGGGAAGGTGCTTGTGGTTCTCAGAGGTGCAGGCCCACTGTTGAGGTGTTGAGCAAGCAGTAAGCAGGGCTGTGGCTCTGTGAGTGCATCTTTTTTCCAGGGAGGGGTTGAGGCAGGGTCTCCCTTTGTAGTTCAGGCTGGCCTTGAACTCACTGTGATCCTCCTGCCTCAGCCTCCTAAGTGTTGGAATTACAAGCCTGCACCACACATGGCTCATCTGTGAGTGCATCTTGATCAGATGCATACTGAATCACACTGATTTTAGTAGCATTTGGTATCAGGCATGGAATGCTGGCAGAGGGAAGTGTTGAAGTTTCAGTAATCCACCATTAAGGGGCTCTGGGTATGGTTGGTTGGTTGTTTTTTAGAGAGACAAATTTGGGCTATGAAATGGAGACTGAGTAGATGTAGCCAACCCCACCCCCTCCCATGTTTTCCCCAGACAGGGTCTCCCTATATTGCCCAGGCTGGCCTTGAACTTGCAGTGATCCTCCTGCCTGTGCTGCCTGAGCACTGGGATTATAGGATCCACCACACCCAGTTGTGACCTCATTATAAATCAGTGCTGGGGATTTACCTCAGTGGTTCTGGCACCTGCTTTGCAATCGCAGGGACCCAAGTTTGATTCCCAGTGCCAAAAAATTAATTAATTAATTAAAAGGTTAAGTTGTAAGCCTTGAATACCCCATTTTAGTTTACAGTGGGCCATATTAACTATCTTATCTAGGGGTTCATGAAGCCCATTTTATATCAGATCCTGTCTGAAACTTTAATATTAATACATCTTTTTTTTTTGGTACCAGGGATTGCTTGCGAGGCAGGTGGTGGAATCACTGAGCTAAGTCCCCGGCCCAATACATGATCATCTTTATCTAATGTAGGGTAGTCCACTGGGATGGGCATGTGCTGTCCTTCCCCACATCCGAGGCTGAACTCTTTTGTCTCCATCAATTGTCAAGAGGGAGCAGACAGGCTCCATGCTTGCTGCCTGGCGGTGGTAGCCTGTCTCTGGGATTCCCCCAAAATAACCAGTGTTTTTCCTCTTTTTCTTTCATTTGAAACCTTCAGAATAGCTTTTCTAGATGGTGGATTTTTTCTTTCCTCCTCCTCCTCGGGTCTTTGTGCCCCACTCCCTGTGATGTGTGTGCTGCTGTTTTGACCTCACAGACGCTTGCTGGAAATGTTCACCACTGGCCCTGTGCATCTGGGCTTCATAGCAGCTGCTTCATGGCGTCTGCTGACCTCTGGGCCCCAGCCAGGATCCACCAGCAGCCACTTCACTGTTACAGTTGCAGCACCAGAGCTCTGTATGTGGGTAGGCGGAGAGGACGCTTGTGCCTTGTTGGGCAGGATGCAGTGTCCAGGCATTTGTCTGTTAAGGTTTTAGCCACGTTGTGCCAGGGGTTTGAGCCATGTTATCTTGTGCATCAGGGGACAAAGTGCAATAGCAACAGAGGAGCAGTGGGCTTCCTGACCTGTTTGTGTGGCCTGTAGTATAGGTGTGCAGTGTGAGCAAGCAAATCTGTGAGATTAGGTCCTCTTGAGATTCTCGTATAAAACAGTGCAAAAAAATAGGATAAAACCCTGCGACTAAACCTGTGCATGGAAACTGGGGATGGAAAAGGTAGTGGCTATTTCTCTTTCCTTTTGTGTGGCAAGAATGCACATGCACCTTCCACATTGGTCCATGGGCTGTGTACCTTGAGCCAGGTCCTTAATGTGACTCAGAGAGGGATGAGATGTCCGGTGCAGTGACGGCAACAGTGGCTGTGGGAGGAAGGTAAGGCTCATCCCAGGCTCATCCCAGCCTCACCAGCAAAGCGGAGTCAGAGCCAGACTGCATCCTCCTTACCGGTTTCCAAATTCTTTCCTATACTTTGGTATCACAGGTACAAATGCCTTTAGGTATGGTATTTATGCTCTGTGATGGCAAACGCACTGTACCACGTTACTGCAGGTGAACATTCCACAGGTGACATGACAAGGGAAATTAAAATGTTTATTCATGTTCATACCTAGTAACATGAACCGAAAATCCCACTGAAAGGCAGCTAGCTAGACAGTGCAGTGTTCATAGAGGGCAGAAAGGCTCAGTCACTCCGTGTGTCCAAAGTCACCCGGGCTTTCAAGGATGTCACCTGTCTTCAGAATGGCCTGCTACCTCTCATGGAACAGAAGGGGGCTCAACAGAACCGCACCCTGCAAATAATGAGTTAGCAGCCTTCCCGGCCCTTACAGGGGTGGGTTTGCACATCCCAAGAGGGGCGCTTGAACTAGAAAACAAGCTGCAGACCTTTCTACCTCACAGGCACCTGCTGAGGGAGGAGAGGCTGTGGGGGCTGAGGGAATGCGCTTCCTTCCCTTCTGCTGCCTCCTGCACTGTGGTGCTGGGGTGTAAGGCACTAGAACTGCTCTCGGAGAAAGTGCTAGCAGATTGAAAAAGATACCACTTATTGAAAAGATACTAAAAATATCCTCCTCTCCCCTAGTAGTTTCTGTCTTTTATGAACAGAAAAACAAGGTGTTGCAAAAGGTTAAAAACAGGTGCATTTGACTCTCACGAGAAAAATGGCCCATGAAGAAATGCATTATTCGCCAGCAGATGTAAGAAACCACCAACCTGCTGAGGGAGGAGAGGCTGTGGGGGCTGAGGGAATGCGCTTCCTTCCCTTCTGCTGCCTCCTGCACTGTGGTGCTGGGGTGTAAGGCACTAGAACTGCTCTCGGAGAAAGTGCTAGCAGATTGAAAAAGATACCACTTATTGAAAAGATACTAAAAATATCCTCCTCTCCCCTAGTAGTTTCTGTCTTTTATGAACAGAAAAACAAGGTGTTGCAAAAGGTTAAAAACAGGTGCATTTGACTCTCACGAGAAAAATGGCCCATGAAGAAATGCATTATTCGCCAGCAGATGTAAGAAACCACCATGATGTTCAGTGGACAAAGAAGGCAGATGTAAAACATACTTTGTTCTTGTGACAAATAACGGAATGGTAGTAATGAGGACCACAGCAGTGAGCCCTGTGGTGACTCAAACACGACTTGGCACCTCAAAGTGGCGGTGGTACGGGGTGCTGCTGCGCAACAGACCCTGGCTTGCACACACTTTCTCCAAGTGCACAGGGTTAGTGGAGCCCAGGTGTGTGCTATGTTGTTACCGCAGACCTCTCGCAGAGACCAAGATGACTCTCTCCCCTAAGAAAAATGTGCCTATGTCATGTGGGATGCTGCTGTTTTCAGCAACGCTTGGGGTGGGTACAGAAGGAAAACTAAAGTGGCAGCACCTTATTCTGCAGCCTGTCTCAGTGGCTCTCATCTCTGTCCTAGGTATTAGAGAGGACCCTGGCCAAGAAGCATCAAAGCAACAGGCGTGAACCTATAACTCAGCCCCACAAGCAAGAGCAGGGTCTCCCAGGAACTTGAAGTGACTGGAGGGCACTGAGGTTCCCTTGTGTCTCAGGTTCCTCAAGGATGGTGAAGGCACCTTCACATGCCAGCAAGGTGTCTGTGAGTCACAAGATAAACAGCCAGCCTTCAAGGCTGTGGGTATCTCTTCTAGGAGGCACCTGCTGCTTGCTCCATGCTGCCGCTACCACTGCCACCGAGGTGGCAGGAGAAGGGAGAGTGCTAACATTTCAGGTAACTGCAAAAGCAGGGCAGTGGACTGAGAGCTGTGGATTGCTCATGTTTTAGTTTCTTGGAAATGGCCTAGGAAGGAAAATGAACAGGTAAGATTTTTAAGAACATATCGCCTGATGGCAGCTCTCAGGGTCACAGTGAAACTGGGACTTAGTCACAGGCCTGTGGGGATCCCCCAGAACAGCACTGTAAGTAGTGCCATTACAGAAGGTTAAAGGATATCAAATAGGTGAGCTCTGCAGTAAGTTCTTTTCCCTTTTTATCTCTTAAAGCACTAGAGCCGTGGTCACCTCCATGGAAGTATGGTGGAGGGCAACCTTGCCTATGCAAGCTCAAGTCAAAGGACATGGCAACGCTACAAAACAGCACCTGGGGGAGGAATGTAAAGCTATTTCAAGGAAGAAGACAGAGAAAACTTGCAACTCTTGAGTCTTTGTTGGTTAAAGGCCAATATACTGTTTCTAAGTTCAAAAAGATTGTTTGCTGTCAATAGATCAAATAGATTGTTTGCTGCCTCCCCAACAGATCATTTCAGAGAGAAAAATATCCAACCACCTAAAGCCCAGAATTCCTTGACTTGCACTGGTATGTTGTCACAGGAGGAGCTTCTATGGCCCCACTGCCTGATGGAGTGACACGCGTGAGGTGCTTGTGCGTCTGTCAGAACTGCCAGTGTCACAGCTGTCCTGTAGATCTAGCGATCCTCAGTAGCAGCTCAAGGTGCTGCAACACCTACTTTAGCTGTCCAGGCCTCCACTGCCTCTGTTCTGACCCCGAGACAGAGAGGAGTCTCTGTTCACAGCACTCCCATCAGGACCAGATACAGAAAAAAATCAACTGACCCCGCCTGTGTATGCATGAGCGACAGAAAGCTGCGAAAGTACAGTACCTCCAAGGGAGGAGACCAGAGGGTGCATGAACAGTGCCAAAGGTAAACCTCTGTGTCCAGGGCTTTCAGTTAAACAAGTGATGGCACAGAAGATCAACAGAGGAGTAAGAGAAAGACCCCTACTTATGGAGGTTTTTTAAAGCACCATCCTCAACGCTTGCCCCCCTCCTCAGTTCCTTCACAGCAAGACAACCACGGCTGGCTCAAAGGGAAAGACAAACATTAGCCACAGGAGCCGAGGGCTTGTCTCTGCAGTGTAAGAAAGTCACCACATGATTTTCGATACATCTTCAGACGTCCCTCCTACTTAGCACAGTTAATTAACAGAAGAGTGATTTGCTAGAGATTAACAAGTGTAAAACTGATACAACCCCTAAAGTCTATGTGCATAATACATTGAGGTTGCTTTTACTTTTTCAAATTAGAACTTAAGTAGTGAGACTTCTATGTAACACTTAAAGCACAAATTTAGTGCCACAGTTGTAATATCTGTGCATAAATCAAGAATTTGTTGGATTTCCAAATAAACTTTGCTCTACAAAGATTGGAGTGGTGCCAATGTAAAAGCACATGAATAACTTCCACTTCCGTCTGAGCCGGCTTCCTGCCTGTAGGTGGCCAAGGGCTGTCCCTCTCTCCTAGGTCGTGCCTGTGGCCACTGTCTTGCTCAGCTCTCTGGTTGCCTAGAAGCAGCAGCTCTCAGAAAGTGAAATGGGCCCCCAGAGTTCTAGGCACACACTTCCCTCCACACATAGGTGGACATGACATCATGCAGGAGGAGGGGGCAGCTAGGGAAACCAAGATGTCCGGGAGGAGCCAGTCTGCCAAGTGGGTAACAGATTCCACAGCAATGCTGGTTAAGGCCAACACCTGAGAATGTTAAGCTGCTCTCATGAAACGATCTTTAATATAACTACAGGTTTAACAGAACTAATGCTTCCAAGATACCAAGACAATGAAGACTACTGCTGCACTAAAATTTCTAGTAGTTTTCTTTACACTAATTAAAAAAACCCAACAGATTAGGGCAGTTTATATACAAGGGAAAAATGAAGTGTTGGGGCTGGATAGCTCAGTCTGGAGGAGAAAGCAAGCCTAGACGAAAAAAGGAAAGCTGCCCTTTAGCCTCACCCAGTTCACACCAACTGTGTTCAAGAATTCTGCATGGACTCATCTCTCTGTAGCTTTGTTTCTTCCAAGCCAGGGGTGTAAAGTTTCAGGTTTCCCTGTGCACTCAGCATGAACAAGGTTTCGTTACTCACTCTGGCCAGCCTGACTGTCCCCTCCCAGCTCTAAAGGAGCAGCTCTATACACTGAGCTGAGCCCAGGGCACAAGGGAGGCTAAGAGTCACGTAAGGAGGAAAATCAAGAGGGGACGACTGACCTTTGAACAGCAGAAAGGGAAGCAGCACTTTTCACAGCAGAGAAAACAGCATTGGTAGTGACATACTTTTTGTAGTAAGAACCTTGTGCTGGGAAAAGCAACATGGCATACTTGCTTATTCAGCTAGGAAACAAACAAACAAAAACAACACCTCAATTACACGGATGAGCAAGAGATGAAGACAGTTTCGGGCAGGCTGCCCTGACCTGAAGGTACAAAAACTGGCTCCGGAGGGTAGATGAGGGTGGTGCCAAGTTACCCACTTGTCTCTCCTATGGACCAGACAGCATCCGTATGCTGTCTCTTGTCAGTGAGGTAGATGATCATCCTCTTGTTAGAGATATCAGGTGCCAAACCACAGTGTGATGGGATGGGACAATGACCTGCGTGGCTCAAAGGCACGAGCTATGCCAGGGACGTGTCTCACTCACAGGCTTCTCTGATGACCCGAAGCCCAGGGAGATGGACTTTTCCCTGAGGCCTGGTAAACACTGCAGGCATTGCTTGGAGATACAGAATGTGACCCCAACACCGTTCCATAGGGAAGCTTGCCTCTGTCCTCCCTGTCGGGTACACTTCCTGCCACCAGGGGAATCTAAGCAGGGGGTGGATGGGAAGACCAAGGCTGCAAAAGTTTAAAAGCAGGTCAAGTTCAAACATAAGGCGAGACAAAGAAAGGTTCGGTGAAGAGGAAGGAGGTCAGGGCAAAGGGATGCGCCTCAGCTTAGACGATGGGGAGGAGGTGACACTGCTCTGGTGTTACTTCCCATGCAAGTCACTTAGCTCCACGTCATCCTTTCGGCGCTTGTGTGTAAAGAGGGAGGTGACAGGGTAGAGTTTGGCCTTGGCCTGGAACCGGCAGCCTGCGATGTCGATTTCATACTCTCCCCGGTTGACAAAATCTGCTGTGACCACCTGCTCCTCCCCGGTGTCCTTGGAAAAGTTGTGCACGAAGCCCAGGCACACGTGGCGCTCCAGGGTGTAGCTGTAGGCACTGCTGGTGGTCTGGCCAACGTACTGGCCGTTCCTGTAAATAGGCTCCCCCCACCATGGCCAGAGGTCCAGGTCCGTGTCGTGGTCCTCCAGGATGAACATGGTGAAGCGCTTGTACACCCCGTTCTGCTTCTGCTGCAGCAGGGCGTCGTGGCCCATGAAGTCCATGCCCTAGGAGAGAGGAGACGCTAAGTCAGTGGCGACCCTGCACCCTCCCCGAAGTCCTGTTGGCAGGCACCTGTGAAATGGCTTTTTCCCCCCATGTGAAAGCTGCATTCACAATAAGAAAACACCATCAACACTGTTTGTGAAAACAGAAGTACACATTATGCTTTTCTTTTTTATGCAGTATTGGGGATTAAGCCAAGGGCCTTGTATAGAGCTTTCCCTAGCCATTTTTTAACTTTTTCTTTTGAGACAGGGTCTTGCTCGGTTGTCCAGGCTGGTCTGGAACTTGTGATTCTATAGTTTCAGCCTCCCAGAGTGCTAGAGGTGTACACAGATTTCAGTCACAACCTCACGTAAAACAATATTTAGAAACAGAAATCACACAAAAATATTTGCTAGGATTGTTTGTTTTGTTTTTGTTTTTGAGATGGAGTCTCACTACATTGCTCTGGCTGACCTCAAATCCCCTCTGCTTGTAATTCTCCTGCCTCAGCCTTCCAAGAAACTGGGACCATAAGTGCACACCCCCACACCCAGCTAAAGATAATGTTTCTTTTTTTTGGTACTGGGGATCAAACTCAGGTCCTTGTGCTTGCGAGGCAGGCGGCAGAACCACTGAGCTAAATCCCCAGCTAAAGATAATGTTTCTGTATTTTCCAGCCAAAAGCCCATGCATCTCTATCAGTACATACATATTATATATACCTGTGTACAAGAGATGAATAGACTAACACTGATTACCTGGATAGGAAAAACAGGCCATTTTATAGCTTGCTTTCTGTTTTCCCTATTTTCCAAAATGAGGTTTTACTGTAGTATCACAGGAAAAGTGTGACACGTATGTCCCAAAGAATACTACAGGTACAATACTGATGAGAACAGCTAGCTAGAGGCTGTGCCGTGCGAACATCAGGTACCAGACCACAGCACCAGGTCAGTAACAGCAGGAGGGGAAGAACACACCGCACCGCGGTGCCACAGTAGACAGGATGTTCCACAGAACATGCTCTGCAACCAGGATTTTTCTTTTGGTACTGGGGCTTGAACTTGGGTCCTTGCTCAGGTGCTGGAACCACTGAGCTAAATCCCCGACCCTGCAACTAGATGTTTCTAAAAAAAAAAGTTCATTTAAAAAAAAGCAGTTGAGGGCCACGGATTTAGCTCAGTGGTTCTACTGCCTGCCTTGCAAGCGCAAAGACCCGAGTTCAATCCCAAAAAACAGTTGATTGTAAGATACTTATGTGGCATGTTACTAAGTCACCAAAATTAACTCAGAAAACCTTCCTCCCCAGTGTTGATCCTTCAGAGAGCAAGGTGCTGACAGGAGCCTCGGCTGGTATCTGCCGTCTCAGGAAGGCGCTCATCCCACGGGAACACAGCCCTTCCCAGGGTCCCAACCAGTGCCTTCACACACTGCCTGCACCTCCCCTCTCCCATCCCAGTGTCGATCTCGACCCTTAGCAGTGACTGCATGAACACAGTACCTTCTCCAGCTTCACCCGAGACTCTCGTCCACATTCCATTGGGGTGGTGAGTGTGTTTAAATCCTGGCCCCAAAAGGCGAAAAACTTCTCAATTCGGAGGCTGCGAAGGGCATAATACCCGGCATTCCGGATCCCGTACTTCTGCCCGACATTCATCACTTCGTTGTACACATGCAGAGCGTACTGGAGGGAGGAGGGAAGAGAGGTCAGCGGCCAGCACCCTCCAGTGCAAACAGCACTGGACTAGAAGTTGCAGTGCTCAGCCTGCTATGTGGACAAAACTCCAAGATGTCATCCTCGAGGAGCTGTGACCCGCAGCCAGCAATAATGAGCCGGGGTCCCGACCTGGGTGACAGGCTGCATCAAAGCAGGATTCCCACCTTCTACTTCCCTAAGGGGGTTTCAGCACACAGCAATTACCATGCCAACTCAGAAGCAATTGCTGTTTGGTGAGTGAACAATTTCTTCTCTTTCTCAAAGAAACCACTCAGGTGACCTCATCTCTACCCAAGCTTTGCTCTCTTGCTCCAATTCCCAACCTGTGCTAGTGCCTCACATAATGGCCCAAGCTGCAAAACCAAATTCACACGTAACTCTAGATGCGGACACACACCTCACCTGACCCTTCACACATACTGAGCCACACCTTAGGAGGAAGAAACAGATTACTGTTTGCATATGATGAGACTGAACCCAGAAATCTCAGAGAATCACCTAAAAATAGACTATAAACAATATGATTGCACAGGGAAATAGGTTAACGTCATCATTCAAAATATCCTGGAATAAAGACCCTTCCCCATTCGCAGAAGCAACAAAATATTAATTGAATAAACTGTAATGAAGACTTAAATACTTCTGAAAGTCTTCAAAGAACTTGAAAAATACAAAAAAAGACATAGCACATGTTTGACTACAACATCCAGTACATCATAAGACTCAATTTTCAGCTGAGCATGGTAGTGAACATCTGTAATCCCAGTACTCTGGGAGGCTGAGGCAGGAGGATTCCAGGTTCAAGTCCAGCCCGGGCAACTTAAATCAGACTGTCTCCAAAATAAAACAAGGTTGGGGATAGAGTTCAGTGTGAAGGCCCTGGGTTCAATCCCCAGTAACACAATCCAAAAACTGTAAGCGGTATTTGTATGTGTTTGTGTGTGCCTTGAGACAGTCCCACTAAGCTGCCTAGGCTTACCATACACTGCTTCAGCCTCCTTGTGGCTGAGATGACAGGGACACATCATCACATCCAACTTTTTCCTTTTTAAAAAAAGTTCATGAGAAAAGACAAGGAAATAGGAACTATTCTTTTCCAGAATTTTCCAATATAATGAAGGATAAATACTAAAAAATATCAAGAAGACTGAAAAACAGTGTGGTTCTGAGCCAGGCATGGTGGCACAGGGCCTAGAACTCTAGGATAGTAATGTAGGAGGACTGAAAATTCAAGCCCAGCCCAGGCAACTTAGCAACTTAGTAAGATCCTTAAAGATCAAAATAAAGGACTAGGGTTGTAGCTTAGTGCAAAGCCTTGGGTTCAGTCCCCAGTGCCACAACCGGTACAAAATGGTTCTGGATCATGAATAGATACACAAATACAAGAGAACACACAGTGTGGATTTTTTTTTTTTTTTTTTTTTCTTGGTACCAGGGATCGAACTCGTGTCCTTGAGCTTGCGAGGCAGGCAGCAGAACCACTGAGCTAAATCCCCGGCCCTGAACACACGGTGTGAAATAAAACCAAGGATTTGGTATTTTTAAAAGGCAGGTTCTCTAATCAATTAGGTAACCCTGTCGGGGGGGGGGGGGGAAATACACTGCATAAAATACACCAAAGAGACACTGAAAAAGGATCAGGCATTTTAAATACTTTTTAAAAGCCAAAACCAAGAACAACAAAAACTATAAAAGTACTGGAAAAAAATTGGAAACACACTGTATAACGTTGAGTGGAAAAGCTCCATTCTAATAAATCAAGTTTATCTCCAAAAAGAAATAATTTCACTATAAGTACATAGAAATATAAAAACCAGTCAGAAATGTATGAACATTTCCATAACAAAAAGTAAATGTAAAAAAAAAGTAAACATAGGACCAAGGAATGTAGCTCAGCAGCACAGTGCCTGCCTGGCAAGCCTGCCGCTGAGTTAGATTTCCAGCAGCAGAAAAAGGAAAGTGGGGGGTACCGAGGTGTAGCTTTGTTTAGAAACCTTGCCTGGCTTGCCCCAGGCCCTCAGTTTGGTGCCCAGCAAAGCGAAACAAAAACACCATAAATGAGTGGACAAGCTGGAAGAGTGCTATCTGCAGCTCCACACTAGGGGCTGATGGATACAAAAGGGTGCCTAGAAATTGATAAGAAGATCAGTAAGCCAACAGAAAAATGGACAAAGGATAGTAGAAAATTCACTGATAAAACATTAACCGAGTACTTTTTATGTGCCAAACACTTCTTTAGATAGACAATGGGGACATAAAATATGTTTTACTAGACAGTGATAAATGCTATGGAAAAAAGTAAAAGGGAAGTAGAGCCAGGCATAGTGTACACCTGTAATTCCAGCTACTTGGGAGGCTGAAGTAGGAAGATCACAAGTTCCAGGCCAGTCCGCACAATTCAGTGAGACCCTGTCTCAAAAAGGGGTGGGGACATAGCTCAGTGGTAGAGGGCCCTTGGCTCCAATCTGTAATACCACAAAAAACACCAGGAAGGAGCCCAGGGAGAAAGGGCAGGGGTGCAACAAAGACCTGCTATGAGTAAGACTCGTTGGAGGGGACACTACCCTTGGAAAAGTCTATCGGGAAGGACAGGTCAAAGGAGAGCAAAGAATTCGGGGGAAGGCAGGAGGACATCTGGCGTTTTCCAAGGCCAACAGAAGGCAAAGAGGCAGAGAAACAATGAGGTGGGGGACAGGAACGCAGGCTGTGTCAGGCCTCAGATGGCTCTGACTTGGCTAGAGAAGGGCTCTGAAAAGTCACTCAGCCTCAAGAAATTAAAACTATTTTGCACCTAACACACTGGCCAAAGCCTCCAGTCTGACAACTGTGGATTCAATGCAATGAAGAAAAAAGATGCTTCCACACTGCAGAATTTTTTATAATAGGAAGAACTGGAATCACCAACATGTCTGTAAGTACAAGACTGGTTGAATAAATTATGATTCTACCCTAAGATGCAATCCTGTAAGAAATTTAAAAAGCTGGGAAATAGCTTAGCAATAGAACACTTGTCTAGCAGAAGCGAAGCCCTGGGTTCACCTGCCAGCACCACAGAGAAAGAAGAAAAGGGAAGCTCTTGCTCCTGAGGTGCAGACACAGAAAGGTCGATATGGTAAAGTGGAAAAGCCAAGATGCAGCACAGCATACTTCCATCTGGGTCTGTACAAGACAGATAACAACTCCCTCTGAATTTGCTTGGATATACATATAAGAATATGGCTGACGTCCTAAAAACCAATACTAATACAGGTGGTGAGAACCTGTCAGGCGGCACCGACCAGTTTGATGATTTTACGAAACCTCTTGCCTACAGCCTACCTCGATTCCCAAAGCCCAGCCAGGTCTGGCTCTCTGAAGCTGCCCGTGTGCAGGAGCCCGGGGAAGACCGACCCATCCCGACCCTGAGCACCCTCACCTCGATGGGGATGTACAGCATGAAGCCCGGCTCTCCGGTGTGGGTCATGCTCATCACCCGGATCCCGTTTGCATAGCCCACGCTCATCTCCTGCAGAGAGAGACAGCGGTGAGTGTAAATGGGCACTCGCGCCTGTCAGGGAACGGGGGCCGGGCACCGTCTCATTTACACTGCACCCTGTGCTTAGTCTAAGGAGCTGCACGTGAAGGAAAGCTTTTCATGGAAAGTGGAGCACAGCCTTTCTAACATCTTGTCTCCCGAACAAGCTGATGACGGGGAAGGGTGGCCCCATCTTGAATTAGCACAGACTATTTTTTCTTTTCGGGTTTTACTAAAAGTTTGGACTGGCCAGGTATTTTCTATGGGGGAACTCTGCAGACGAATCCTTGGCACCTGCCTTACAAAAGATTATGCCTGGGGCTAGGAATGTAGCTCAGTGGCACAGTGTCTGCCTGGCAAGTGAGTCTTAAGTCTGATTCCTGGTACCATAAATAAATAAATAAGACACCTGGTGCCCACTGAACACTATTCACTTGCTACCTAGCTCATTTTCAAAACTGCTAGAGCAGCTTGGGTACCTGGCAGGGCCATTAACTCAGTCCCTGTCCGGTAAAGGGAAGCGGTGAGTGTCGGAATGCACAGAAGCAGGCTGCTTCCACAGGAAGGGCGCGTGCCAGGTGCAGACAGGCAGAAGGAATTCCGGGTGGGGTCTGCTCAGGGTCAGTGTGCATTTTTCTGTTGCTTTCTTTCCACCTCAGAGGAAAGGGGAAACTAGAAATAACTTGTAGGGGAACCCCAAATCTGGTTTGAACTTTGAGTCTCTTGGTAACTGGCCCAGTTGAGTGTTCCGGAACCCAGAGACGTGTCCACTGGGTCCTTGGTAATCAGCTGCTACTCAGTCAGCACTGCTTTTACTCTGTTATAGTTTATTCCACTCAGCTACAGTGGCCACTAACAGGAAAGAAAATATGTGAGTTGTTTAGGGATTCAGCTACACCATTTCGCCTCTGAAGATGCTATGTATTTACAGAAATTACTCTGTGTATGACCAGCAAGAAAAACCTGGTCTTTAGTGTCAGTGTTGTAATCTTCCAACTTGAGATTTTAATCCACTGCAAAAGAACCCATAAACAGAGACGTGACAATCAGAAGCTAACCCACCTCAAAGATTCCCTTCTACTAGGTAAAGGAGAGCGTCAAAGGTGAAAAATACAAGAATTCCTCAGTCATTTTGTTCTCTTAATAAAGGTCAGAACACTTTGTTGGAGTTAGTAAGAATATGTATCTGTCACCACTATAAAATAAATACTCTGTCAAAATAAATTCTCTGTCCATTTAAAAAAGAGAACTTTACCAGCACCCACCTTGCAAAACAGAGTTGGGAAGTGGTCTGGTGTCATAGGGGCATAGGACAGTTCAGACAGCACATCCACAGCTCGTGGGCCAATCAGGTTGAGGGCTACATGGAAAAGAACAAGAGATGTCCAGCTTCTCCTGCTGAACCACCGGGCCGGTGGGAAAGGCTGGTTCAGGATGCACCACCAATGGCCAGGCCTGAGTGGCAGGACCACAGGAGTGTCCTGCTTAGGCAAGCCAAGCGTGGACACCAGGCGCCCCGATTCTGGCTCACAGACCTTAGCTGACAGGACTGCTGGCTGTAGCTGCTGACCGTGCTCACAAAGAGGCCAAGTCCTGGTCAGTGAGATACCTTCAGGGCTGGCCATACCTCCCCTACTGCCCTCCCCTCCCAGATTCCTGATCTCTTCCCAGTATGGCTGGAAAAAGCCCCAATTCCAACTCAGTACATGGAAGACAGCTGTCTACTTGCTTTGATCTCTAATGTCTGTAACAGCAACTTATGCTAGTTAACAGCCACAGTAATACAAGCTAGGACACAATTTTCATTCAGTAAGTTTCTGTAGTTTGGTAGCAAGGAATGAATACTATTTGCTACTAATGACAAATCACGAGTGAGTCCTGGAGTGGTTCCACCGCCTGCCTTGCAAGCAGAAGGACCAGAGTTTGATCCCCAGTACCGGGAGAAAAAAAAATAAAGCAAGGCCTGGAAACACTGGAAGGGTGCAGCATGGGGTCATGAAGGAGGGAGGGAGGGGCTGACCCTTAATCAGGGTGGAAGAAGAGGGAGGCACTCCCCAAACAGAACTGCTGAGAAAGAGAAGCAGGATATTAACTCATCCTTAAAAACTATTTATTCAAATTGGGCATGATGGCACATGCCTATAATCCTAGCATTCAGGAGGCTGAGGCAGGAGTATTGCTATGAGTTCTAGGCCAGCCTGGACTACATAATGAGACTCTGTCCCAAAACAAAAATTCTGTACTCTTTGAGGAAAAACAAAAACAAAACAAAACAAAAAAAGTTTAAGGGAAATCTTGACGACTATTAGGTAATATAAAAATTTTTGCCAGGTGCGGTGGCACACACCTGTAATCAGGAGGCTGAGGCAGGAGGATCACTGTGAGTTTGAGACTAGCCTGGGCTACATAGTGAGTTCCAGGTCAAGTCTCCATTACACAGTGAGACCCTGTCTCAAAAAAAAAGAAAAGAAAAAAATATATATATAAATTCTTTATTCATTTATCCAATAAACACAATACTTCATGCTAGCTGTAGGGGAGGTAACAATAAAATAGGTACCAAAGCACTCACATTACGCTTCCTTGATAAGAAAGTGGAGACTTATTAGTGGTCAGCTATCTGCAACCACAGCCCCTTTCTGATGCTCACTCTGACATTTCTGACCCACCTGTGTCTGCTGCCCGAAGGCTCTCACCTGTGTACTTCCAGGTGACATCCTCCAGCACCAGGCTGCTGTCCTCAGGCATGTGCTTCCTGAGCCAGGCCCAGCAGTGGACCTGCTGGTCAGTCGGAGAGATCATGAAGAAACTGAAAGGGAGACTCCGAGTGTCGAAACCAGGTAGGAGAGTGGCAACATACTTTCCCACCCCCCTTCTTGTCTCTCTTAGACAGAAGCTATCTTTTCTACTCTTAAAAAAAAAAAAAAAAAAGAGGATCCGGAAGCAAGTTCTCGTCTAGTTTCAAAGTTATTCAGAGAATACTGCAGAATGATCTTATAACGAAAAACAAAATTCTGGCTTCCTGTTAGTGCCCAGAAAGCATCCAGACTTACTAACACAAAGGAAAGCATCCTCTCCAGGATGGCGACTAACTTCTACGCTGGCTCACATGGTTTGCCGGATCCTTGCTGATTACTGTGTAGGGCCTCATGACCTGGCCATGAGTTCATGACCCGGTTTTTCAGTCTCTGGGATAAGCAGGCCTCCTGAGAAGTGTTCGAGGGGCTCTGCTCTGCTTACAGAAACTTTGGGGAGCGGCACGTTGGGACCAGTGGCAGCAGTGGCCTCACCTGCGCTTGCTCAGACGTGCGATGCTGCAGTCGTTCTCGTAGCCCCCAGCCTCGTTGAGCATGCCTGTGTGCACGATGTGGCCCACAGGCACGTCCAGGTCGTTGGAGAAGAGAAATTGCAGAACTTCTAAGGCCTGGTCCCCGATGGACTGCAGGGGAAGGGATGAAGCAGGGGCAGAGAGCACAAGAGCATCTGGTTGGTCACAGGGCCAACAGGCCAAATCTTTCTGTGGAAATCCCACGAGCCAGCACCCATGTGACAGTAACTGTAGATTTACTCAATGGTAAGAAGCTCTGGGGAAAGCTATTGCTGATTCTCATGGTCAGTGGGCCTCTCCAGGCAAACTGAAAACCAGACAGAGCTGGGGATTTAGCTCGGTGGTGCTGCCATCTGCGTCGAAAGCACAGGTCCCAAGTTCAATCCCCATAACAAAAAAAAAAAAAAAGACAAAAGGAGCTAAAAATTCAGAAAAATGTATACAAATGAAATACTGAAATAGACCACAGTTCTTACAGAATCCATTTTGAATTGACAGATGCAATACAGGAGGCATTCAGTAAATATGCAGTTTTCCATTGTGTTACTTGGATTCCCAAACACTTACTGTTATCTCGAACTTTGTGAAGGAGGACATGTCAATAACACACACTGCCTCCTTACAGCACTTCACTTCAGACTCCACAATGTCAAACCAGTCCGGCTTGTAGAAAGTCTTGCTCTGCTCCAACGCAAGGAGGTCTACAGAACAGAGAAAAACAAAAAGTGCAAAGGAAAGGAGGGACTGTACACTGGGGACTCCTACAATCTAGGGTGGCCTAGCAGTCCTTTTTGCTGTTTTTCCAGGAATACATCCTAGATACATACATTACAAATATCCAGTCCAAGAAAAAATGTACAAAAATGATACTTCTTACCCTTATCAGGTGGAACAAAGTACTTTGGCCTCTCAAATCCATGTTTCTCCATCCATCTGGCCCCTTGAGCATCCAGCCGGTCATACAGAGGAGAAGTGCGCAGCTGCCTACCAGTCTGGAAGTCCCAACGGGGAACTTTCAGGTCGTATATCAAAGCTAGAACAGACGAGAACAGTCTGTCAGAGCCACAAGTCTCACTCTCAGAGCTGAGTACCCAATATCCACTAGACCCTGGCGTCACTGCTATTGAAGAGAGCACAGTTTGCAGGCTGATATGGCCTAGTCTGTCTGATATCGCCCCATACAACATGCATGCTCCAGATGGACAGTGCTGCAGAGCTGGCATCACCCTGTGTAAAGCTATCCAGCTAGTGACTTGCGCTCTCCAGCCACAGTTATACTTCCAAAGTAGCACACAGAAATGACAGGAGAGAGGCCAAGGGGAAACCTTGCTCAACTTCATAGCACAGATGAAGGCAGTATCTAAGTGAGACACAGGTGAGGATGAAGTGTGAGAAAATGGCACCTGATTCTCTGCCTGTGTTGTTGGAATCTCAGACCTATTACAGACATTTTTTTCCTTTTTAATATTTAACCCATTTCTGAAGTGAAAGGGTACATAGCATACCTTGATTTGGTGGCTCTGAAATCTGAGAGGTTGCAATGTATTGTCCCAGTGACATTATTCACATAACAAAGCTAGGGTCAGAATTCATTTCTCTTAATGTCCAATCTGCAACAGCAACAAGTAAAAAGAGCCAGAAAGAATATGATCTCTAGTCTCTTCCAAAAACCTGACCTCAGTCCAAGCCAAAGATACATTGAGGTGGGTGGGGAAGGTTGGGAGATTTAGGAGGAGGCCACACTATATTTCTTGTATTATGACAACTTGACCTCTTCCAGGACTTTAGGTTCTAAAACCTGTTCTATCATGCTTATAAATTGAGACTCACAGAAGGCCACCAGAAGTATCACACCACCAAGAAGAAGCTCAAATGCAATTATAATTTGTACAGGTTCTATAGTAACGGTGGAGAAATATAAAATTATAGTAGTTGAACATCTTAGCTAAGATATTTGCCAAAATGAACCTTAACAGTTAGATATACTGCTGCTAATCCTTCATCTTCCATGGAGGAAAATTGTGTGCCACAAGGCAAAGCAAGTGTTCAGGTGTTAAAGGCCATCCAAAGGCCTCACCATGAATGTCATCCCACTGCTAAGGCAGCAAAGCATTTGGTGGGCACAGCTTACTCTTGAACATAAACATGCCCCAAATATTTATGAATTATTTGGTAAAGATGAGAACAATTCCGCAGTGTAGGAAAATGAAGCAACTTGTCAGAGCCCAGATTTTTTTTTTTTTTTTGAGACAGGGTCTCACTATGTAGTTGAGACTTACCTGGAACTCACTTTGTAGCCCAGGCTAGTCTCGAACTCACAGCGATCCTCCTGCCTCAGCCTCCCCAGTATTGGGATTACAGGCATGTGCCACCACACCTGACCCCACATAATTTAATTTGATTCAAAAGCTGTCTCTAAAAGCTGGCCAGAAAATAAAGACAAAGTGGAATGAATGAAAATGAAGAGGCCAATCCTTCAGAGTTGGAAGGAAGCAAGCACAAGGAGGAGAGCAGGAATGAATGCTTTATATTCACATGAGAAATGCTTTCTTAGCTTACTAGCATATGACAGTTTGATGACAAAAGTCACTCAGAGAAGCCCAAAGCTCTGAGAAAACCTTGACAAATCCTCTGCCTTGGAAAGAAAACAGTGATCTCAAATCCAAGTGGGACAGGGGCCAGGAGATGTAGCTCAGTGTCAGAGCACTTGCCTAGCATAGGTGAGGCCCTGGTTGTGATCCCCAATACTGAAAAGAAAAACCCACAAATGGGGAGCATGCAAGCATCATAGGGCCTTTCAAGGCAAATTGGAAAGGAGGCATTGCTAGCAATATATAAGAAGCCTCTGCATAGCACCTCTAAACCCTACTGTATTTTCCTGTTCCCAAAAGTAAACAAGGTTCAATATACTGACAATGTTCTGTAAATAGCTAGACCTGAAATCAGATGTCCAACTTAAAGCAATTATTAAAGAACTGAGGAAAACCTGCCTGGTGAATGACGAAACAGGCCACCGCAAAGATGCCTGCAGCTAGGTGCAGCTAGGGTAAAGCTTCACTTACGCATGACTTCCATGACCCGGTGGCGCAGAAAGGTACGGCTGCTCTGGAGGGCTCCAAAGCGTTTCAAGTCCAACTCCCAGACGTTTTCTGAGGGATAACCATGTACTATCCATTCAGCAAGGTACCTGTTGAGATGCGGGACAAATGTGGAGCCGCAGATGTGATACACAAATAAAGATGTGCATCATCAATCTGTCATTTGCTAGCAAGCTAAGAAAGCACTTCTCATGAATACAAATCACTCATTCCTGTTCTCCTTCCCCTTTCCTTGCCTTCTTCCAACTTACCTCAGGTGTTATATGCAAAAAGATAAAAACAATATTCTACAAATCAAGAACCAGCAGAAGGTTGGGCATGGACCTCAGTGATAAGAGCACCTGGGCAGCACCAAAGGGGAAAAATAAGAACCAGTGGAATCAAAATTGCTTATGCTGTCAGACAGTGAGCAGTTTAGGAAGCACTTTCCTCAGTTTTTCAGGAATAAACAAATAGGGATCCAAGTGCAACAATCAGAACCACTAGGAGGATTTTAGTGCTAATCAGGTTCCAGGAAAGTGTTTAAGACATAAACCACATCTATGGAGAAACAAGACCATACATACACATGTACTCTTAATTTACACAGGTGGGATTTTTTCCTGTAAAAGGAGTCACCTACGACATGCTGTTCTCTGATCACACCCCCTGCTCCAAATGTTCTCAGTAGCTCCTGTGACAGTTTTCAGAGCTGTTCTGCAAGAGCTGTTCACTTAAGAAAACTAGCCATAGGTGCCACCGCCTGCCTCACAAGCTCAAGGACCAGAGTTCAATCCCTGGTACCAAAACACAAAGATGGTTACACTGGGGTACCTACCCCTGGATTCACAGATTGTTTGAGGTTCACATCACCAATTATTAAGTGAGGAGAGAGAAACATCTATGAAGTGAATGTATTTTATACCAAGATTCAAAAGATCCTAAAGGAGACAGGATCTTGCTGAGTTGACCAGGCTGGGCTTGAACTTGTGATCCTTTTGCCTCAGCTTCCCAAAGTGCTGGGATTACAGGTGAAGGTGCCTGGAGGTATCAAGGCTGAGGGGACCATGTTGCTCCACACCAGAGGTTGTAAAGAACTGTCAATGACGCCTGGCACAGCTCTTGCTTCCATACTGGAGACTGAACCACAGGAGTTGTACCACTGAATAACATCCCCAGCCATTTTGTTTCAAGAAAAAGTCTCACTAAGCTGATCAAAATGGTTTTGAATACCTGGGCTCAAGTGATTCTTCTGCCTCAGCCTTCCAAATAGCTAGAACTACTGGTACCTGAAGTGATCTTAAAATCAAAACAATACCTGACCATATTACAATTTGTTGTCGCCTTCCTCTATACCTTCATGACTTTTTAGTATTCTTCAATAAAGACCAAATCCTTAAAAAAAAAAGAGAGAGAGAGAGAGAGAGAGAAAACTGGCCACACTCAAAATATTTTTAAAAATTATGTTAAAAACACAGTTGACCCCTGAACAATACAATTTAAATTGCACAGGTCCAGTTATGTGCAGATTTTTGGGGGGAGATTTTACAAAATATTTGAAAAAACTCCCTGAAGAACCATGTAATCTAGATATAGTGAAAAAATTAAAAAAGGTATGTCACAAATGCATTATACACAGATAAGTCTGTTTTATCATGTACTACCACAAATCAATAAATACAAATCTATTACTAAAGTTAAAAATTGTCAATATTTACACTCCCAAACCAGTCGTACATGGTGCCATTCGCAGTCAAGAGAAATGTAAACAAATGTAAAGATAAAGTATTAAACTGTAACTGCATAAATCCACTTCACTAACAGTGGGATAATTTCACAGCACTGTCCTGTGCTACTGGGGTGAGCACAGATGTTGGGAATATCCACTTAAAACACAATGAGACGCTACTCATCTCTTCTAAGTATCCAGAGTACCTAGAACCACAATAAAAAAGTGATCTCCTAGTTTCTTGCACTTTTTACTGTTTACATGTAACACACAAAAAGTGTTAACTGACGGTTTACATTGTCAGTAAGGCTTCGGGTCAACAGCAGGCTAGGAGTAGTTAACTTTTGGGGAGCCAAATGTTATATAAGGAATTCGACTGGGAGCAGAGCCCAGTGTTTGGTGCTGGGGCTGGTGACCACTGCCCAGGAGAAGCTGCTGCTGCTGCTGCTGCTGCTGCTGCAGCCACAGCAGGCTGCCACCACCATCACACCAAGAGCAGGAGGCCAAGTCTCAGCAGGGATGCACCCTCACTCTGCCCACACCAAGCCATGCTGGGATTGGTGGCTAGTGCCCTCAAATGGGGTGCTGGCAGGTAGGTTCAAAAAGATCACCCCAGAAAAGTAATAGTAAAATGGTCCAGCAGAAGGAGTGGATGTGGTTTCAACAACAGATTCAAGAGAGAGACACAAGAAAGATGTATTTTGAGGCTAACCTGCCATAACCCCAGGAAGTCCCTTCCCAGTGTAGGAGATGGGAGACACTGGAGGTTGATGCACAAGGAGAAAAAGGGTCAGAGGGAGCAAAGGCAGTGGGGTCAGGAGTAGTTCAAACTCAGAAAGTATGCAGCAGACCAGAGCCAACTTAGGTGTTAATCACGGCAGAACAGAGGTGTGGGGAACAGGTGGATTCAAGAGCACTTGCAAGATGAACAAAGGGCATGGACCACAGTCTACCAGCCCCACTGCACAGGGCAAGGTGGTGCAAGGTGCTAATGAGCAGCATGCAGGGAATGAGGCAGGATATATGGGGTTACAGACCAAGATTCGGCAGGGTCCCTTCTTGCCACAGTCAGCATACAAGACAGCAAAGAGGATAGGTAGTCAAGGAAAGGAGATCTGAGATCAGCAGGCACCTCAATTCCCCATGCAGGTGCTCAGAAAACCCCAAAGTACAAGATGGCAAAGAGACAAAAGCAGCCAGTTCACCGCTGAGAAGCTGAGTGTTTTCGAGGCTAAGCAGGGCAGGGCTGAATAAATGCCATTTTACCTTCTCCATCATCCGCCACCCAACAAGAAACAAATACAGAATGAACACAAGATCAAAGTGGAAGACCTGAAGCACTTCCTTTTTGCCCAGTGACAAGACAACTAGAACTATCTGCATTATCTCTGCAGCATGGAATTTTATTTTACCTAAAGATACCTCCTAGTTAACAACAACTTGGGTTCTTCCACCTTTAGTACCGGCAATCAAACTCAGGACCTTGCACTTGCCAAACAGGCACAGTGCCACTGAACTACATCCCTGGCTCTAACATGGGTTTTTTAAAGCCTGTCTTTTTGCACTGTACCTTTAAAGGTTTTAAAATTGTTTTTTACCTGGTCAGGTTAAAATTTTTCAGAACTTTTAAAGTTTTAATAAAAATTTACAAGCCTGTCACAGTGGTGCACACTTGTGAGCCCAGCTATTTGGGGGCTAAGGGAAGATCATAAATTTGAGGCCAGTCTGGGCACTTAGTGAGAGAGAACTTGCTTCTAAAAAAGAAAAATGGCTGAGGATGTGGCTCAGTGCCAAGGCCCTGGTTTAATCCTTAGTACAGCTAAATAAATGTATGTATATATCCATGTCCTAAGTGGATTTTCAACTATGTACAAGTGTTGTCACCCCAACCCCAAATTGTGCAAGGGTCGACTGTACATGTAAAGATTATCTTATCTATTGTTCAGGGTGCTGTCCGTGGCATTAAGTACACATGGCTGTGTAACTGTAACATCCAGAACACACTGTTAACAGCGCCTCCTCAGTCCCTCTCTGACAGCCGGGCTTTGTCTCTAGAATGTGACCATTCCAGTGTGGAACTGCACAGTATTTGCATCCCTTGCTGAATGGCTTATTTCATTTTTATTAGCACATCAATTTTTTAAAAAGCACATTACCCACCTTGACTGCCTACCTCATTCCCCATCCTTGGCTATTTCTAAGCTTAAATATATACTCAAAGGACCAACATTGTTAATAAAAAATACAGGCTCGGGCCAGGGATTTAGCTCAGTGGTTCCTCGCAAGTGCAAGGTCCTGAGTTCGACTCTTAGTACCAAAAAAAAAAACAAAAAACCCAAAAAAACAGGCTCTATGGTTGTCTCCAAAAGAGGAGTCCCGAAATAGGTTCCAGAGTGACACTACTGGAATATCAGGAGAACTTCTCACAGTGACTCCTTTGAAAGGGACAACCCAAATTATTTGATATATATCATCATTATAAACTATATACCTCATTATTACAACATGTAGATTAAATATATTACACAAGGCACTAAAAACAACAGGTAATCCAAGCTCAGAGCTGACACTGTGAGAAGACTTACTTCCCAGCCCCTCCACCAAAGGACAGGCCAGCGGAGTTCATCCCCGCCAAGACAAAGTAGCCACGGATCACAGGGGACTCGCCCATGATGCACCTCATGTCCGGTGTAAAGGTCTCAGGGCAGTTCACCAGCTTCATGATCTCCAAAGTCTCTAGTTCTGGCATCCGACGCAGGAGGGAACTCAATAGGGGCTCTGAGATAGAACAAACCCAAACACAGCCCTCAACTTTAGTGAGTGTAGAAACTTTTTCCAAGTCCTTATCCTTCTCTCAAAAGTCTCCTGGAAGGAATTTTTCTAAGAGCCAATTGGGCCTTTTATCAAAAGAAGAAAGCTTGGGCTGGGGATTTAGCTCAGTGGTTCCACCGCTTGCCTCACAAGCACAAGGTCCTGAGTTCAATCCCTGGCACCAAAAAAAAAAAAAGAAGAAGAAAGTTTGGTGAAATTGTAGGACACTTCTGCAAAATGCTTAGCATAAAGACTGAGAAAAATCTATAGAAAGGAAAGGTGGTACAGGACAGCAAGTAATCAAGTAATATATGGGTATAGAGACAATATCAAAGGACTCAGCAGGAATGGAAAGGCTCTTATATGGCACTTGAGCAACTTTTAATGAAAAACAATGTTTTGGGCCAGGGGTTTAGCTCTACTGTCTGCCTCACAAGTGCAAGGTTCTGAGTTCAATCCCTGGTACCAAAAAAGAAAAGGGACAGGGAAAGGGGAAAAGAAAAGCAATGTTTTCAGCCAGGTATGGTGATACACACTTGTAATCCAAGCATTTTGGGAGGCTGAGGCGGTGATGGGAAAATAGCTCCATGTGAAGGCCCTAGGTTCAACCTCTAGTACAAAAGAACAAAAAGCAATGTTTTCCAGTTCGAATAGTTACAAAAGACAAAGCCCCCCTTTAAAGAGTAAATCTGTCAGCCGGGCAAGGTGGCGCATGCCTATAATCCCAGCACTCAGGAGGCTGAGGCAGGAGGATCGCTGTGAGTTCAAGACCAGCCTGGGCTACATAGTGAGTTCCACCAGGTCAGTCTCAACTACATAGTAAGACCCTGTCTCAAAAAAAAGAGTAAATCTGTCATCTGGCCATAATCCCATGGGACAGTGACAACAGATGAAATCAGGCTGGAGCTCTTTGGTGGCTACAGGGTGGGCAGCAGAGAAGGGAAAGGTCTGATCATTCATTCTACTCCATCTAGGTTGAAATTCTGAAATCTCCCAGAAGTAGTTTTATTTTTTCCTCAAGATTTATTTATTTTGTTTTTTTTGGTACCGGGGATTGAACTCGGGTCCTTGCGCTTACAAGGCAGGCCACCAAACCGCTGAGCTAAATCCCCAGCCTGGTTTTATTTATTTTGGTACCAGGGACTGAACTCAGGACCTTGGGCTTTTGAAGCAGGCGCTACGCCAACTGAGCTAAATTCCCCGCCCAAGATTTTTTTTTTAAATTCATGGGCTGAGGAATGTCATGGGAGAGTCCTTCCGTAGTATACATTAGGCCCATGTTTGATTCCCAGCACCACAAAAGAAAAAAAAAGTCCATCATGGACAGAGGGAAATTCATCAGAGACTCTCATATCTTTAAAATTTGGATACATGTGACTTAATGAATCACATTATTTCAAAATTTAATAAAGGGCCACATTGTTAAACAATCCTGCATTCTTTTTAAAAAGCTCTTCAATTTTATATGAGGTCCTATCCAAAAAAAGGTCTCTTTCAAGCCTAGAGTTCCAGCAATGATTTTAGGTAAATAAATGAAAAGCCACGACCAGGCAACCTCTATAGACTGTCCCCTTTTCCCTTGTTTCTTTTGTGGATTGCCCTTCGAAACTACTATTATACCTAACAGAGTTGTTATAAATCAAACTGTTCCTCAAAATGCTTTGAAAAATGTAACATCTTAATAAACAGAAGGCATTATTGTTTTTTATTTCACTTATTTTTGTTTGAGACAGGGTCTCAATATGCAATTCAGGTTGGCCTTGAACACACAGCAATCCTCCTGCCTCATCTTCCTGTGTGCTGGAATTACAGGCCTGTACCGCCATCCCCAGCTGACATTGTTATAATCTGCTTCACATACCAAAATGATCCCAGTCTTCCTGTAGATTCTGAATTTCCAGCTGGTTCTTGCCCTCAGTAAAAATAGGTTTCGGGTTCTTCTCAAAGCCCCCAGACAAGATGCCACCCTGCCAGTTCCGAATATAAATTCTTCCATCAGGGTCCACGATAGCTGAGGACAAGAAATGACAAGGAAGTGGGGGTACAAGAGAAAAACAAGGATTTAGAGGCAACCAGCTTTCAAAACAGACAAACACAACACACATGAACAGTTCTACTAACGAAATGGCCTCCAATCCACACAGGCACCTGTTAGCTTTCACACACCTTTGGAGGTCGAGGGGTCATCCCACACAGATTTACCTTACCCTTATCAGAACTGGATGCTTTGCCATACCCTCCCTCCTGAACCACATGACTGCCACTGTGCCAAGTGAGTCTCACAGGCAGGGGAGGTGTATGGCCTTCCACATGACATCACGACTCCCTCCTCTAGCACTGGGAGCCACCCAACTACCCAACATTTCTATACATGGCAGCATTCAAGTTAAAACTCAAAGTTACATCCCAAATAGTCTCAATGACCTGTTTGGAACTAAAATTAAGCTGGGAAAAAAACAAAAGCAAAAAACTGCTTAGTGACATGCCTGCTCGGGCCATCCTTTCATAGAGTTATCATAGAGAAGTTAGAATGGGGTCCACCTCCCTGTAACATGCTCCAGAAAAGAAAAGACTCAAGCACGATCTGTCCTTAGTAGAAAGTCTTCCTTTTCAGAGAACAGGATACTAGCAAGGAGATAGGATTGTAAAAAAGTACAAGTCCTCACTTGGTGTGTTGTTCTGCAGAGGGGTCTCCAAGGGGCGAGTCAGAAGGTAGAAGTGTTCGCAGGCATGTAACGGGATACTAACCGGCTCCTCGTTGGACAGACCCAGCTCGTATGCCCACTACAAATGGACAGAGTGATTGGGGTGGGAGAGGAACAGAAACACAAATGAGCAAGGTCAGCCTCTTGAAAGAGGTTAATTTCAAGTGGCTTCTGTGTGCACTTGCTACAGTGGGAGTGTGGAAAGCCAAGATTCAGCCTGCTTTACTTAGTCCAAGTATTTGGTTGGGGAACAACACTTTTTGTTTTATTTTTTTTTGGTACCGGGGATTGAACTCGGGTCCTTGCGCTTGTGAGGCAGGTGGTGGCACGGGAACAACACTTTTTAAACCCTAAAAATGACTTTAATCAAAGGAAGAGCCGAGGATTTAGCTCAGTGGTTCCGCCACCTGCCTCGCAAGCACAAGGACCTGAGTTCAATCCTCAGTACCAAAAAAAAAAAAAAAAAAGGAAGAGACTGACAAGCAGTCAGAGGAGACCCTTTTAATAAATAACCTGCTTTCAACTACAAGACTCAAAATACCAATCATTAAATGAACTTCACATAGAAAAAGAAAAAAAAAACATTTTCTAAGTCATCTCAAGATTATAGAGTGGAAGAAAGGGATCAGTCTGCTCCAAAAGTCAAAGCAGCTTAGTATTCTGGAAACCGAACCCATGGTCTTGACACAAAAAAATAGCCTAGTATGTTTTCTGCTAGGTTTAGAATGAACTATAAAAACCACAAGACTTAAAAGGCCAGGAATAGGGCTGGGGATTTAGCTCAGCAGTTCGGTGGCCTGCCTTGCAAGCACAAGGACCCAAGTTCGATCCCTGGTACCAAAAAAAAAAAAAAAAAAAAAAAAAAAGGCCAGGAATGGTGATGCACACCTGAAATCCCAGCTATGTGAAGAGGCTGAGGCAAGAGGATCACAAGTTTGAGGTAATGGGGATATATAGCTCAGTGCTCCCTGGGTTCAATCCCCAGCACTGAAGATATTTTTTTTAAAGGAAAAAAAATAAAAATAAACATCTGTACATCCAAAAATCCAAGTTAAATAGGAAAACCAACAACCCGGTATTGCTGTTAACCTACCTGACCAGCACAGTTGACAAAATACTGGCACTCAATCTGGCCTTTATCTGTCTCCACACCAGTAACTTGACCTTTTTTGACCATTACATGAAGAACACTTGTTCGGTCATAAATCTGAACACCTGTCCCAAAGTAAAGAGCGTTTGTACATCATGTGCTGTCTGGAATTAAGACATCTGCAGCATTCTCTACCCAAAGAAATACTGAAGAGTAGGTCAGTGTTTTAACTTCAAAAATAAAATCCCCTAGGAATCATGTCCTGACATGGTACCAGTAAGTACTGCCAAAGACTGACAAGAGCATGTTAACTTAAGAACAGACTAACATACAGTAAATTCTAGATCCTCAAATACAGAACAGGGGGAAGAGGTTTAAACAGGGGTTCTTAACCTAACCTATCTACATCATGAATCAGTTTATCCAAAGTATGTGACACCTTGGCTACTAATAAGTTTCCCCTTATTCGTTCCAACTCTTGGACATGATTTCAAGGTATGTTTTAACCTTGGAGCATCTCAAGCCCTAGGAGATGGAGGATTCCCTTACATCTGAGATACATTAATTAGCACTAAAAGCAGTTCCTGAAAAATGTGTCCATGAAGAAAAATGCTTATTAAGAGATACTATATTTAAAAATTAGAAGATCCTGTATTCAAAAACAGGAAGCTACATACCCTAACGAGAATACTTTCTCCAATTTGAGTTGGTGTCATTGTGTACTGCAGATGCTTTCTTAAATAATCTCTTCCTCCCAGACTCATGTTAGGGAAACGCAAAACCCTGCTCACCATTCTGTGAGGCGGCACTTGCCAGGGCCAGGGCCACATCGGCGGAGGATACCACCGCATCCTCAGGAACGTGCATGGCCCCCACCAGGTTGTGCACATTGAGGAAAGGGTGCAGTTCAGCCACTTTCTTGGGGGAGATGATCTCAGAAGGGATGCCTATAACACTGCCACAGAACACAAGGGGACAATGACATGCATGGGCCTTTGGCAGAAGTCACTTTGGTAAAGTCAAGACTCGCCTAGCCTCTTACGTACTTCAGTCTTGAGTTGATGCGCTTCAGGGAGATCAGCCGGTCCTGTGTTTGGGCCAGAAAGACTGAGCCTGTCCTTATGTAACCTGTTAGAAAAACCAGACAACTGAGACCAGATTAAGGTATGTTGGGCCCACTCAATTACAGGTTAGACCTGCTGTGAAACCTGGACACAAATGTCAGCTTCCTCCAAGTGGAAATTTATACCAGATGCATAAACATTCTCAGCTCATAGTTCTGTGAGAATCAAATGAGTCTCCAGTGTATACAAAAATCACTCATAGTGAAGGTGAATGATATCGTGGCTCAAAAATATTTGTTGCCAAGTTTTTTGTTTTTTGTTTTTTTTTTTAAACTCACTAGCCCAGGCTGGCCTCAAACCCATAGTAACCCTGCTGGGTCAGGCTCCTGAGTGCTGGGATTATGGGCACGTGCCACAATGCCCAGCATACTGGCTAAAAAAATATTTTGGAGGTAGAGATGGGACCTAGAGCTGGGCGTGGTGGTGCACGCCTGTAATCCCAGCACTTTGGGAGGCTGAGGCAGGAGGATCACTGTGAGTTCGAGACCAGCCTGGGCTACATAGTTCCAGGTCAGACTCAACTACATAGTGAGACCCTGTCTCAAAAAAAAACCAAAAAACAAAACAAAACAAGATGGGACCTAGAACCCATCCTCACTCCTTTTAAGCGATTTTGCCTTTCTTCATCTAGTCTTAGAGGGAGTTTAACCCTTGGAAAAAGCCACTTCTAATATCCTCCTTTCCCCATTACAGCAAAATGACAAGCCTGTGACCTAAATCAGCCAGCTGGACCCCTGTTGGCACACTCGGTTCCGAGCCAGTGGGTGGCTCCTGGGAGTTTCACATCAGGGGCAGCAGTGTCTCCACATCATGGATGTCTTGCTGCTTCCCCCACAACTCCACAGGTGCCCAGCAGCCTCCCAACAGGCTCCTTTTTACCAGGTTTCTGTCATTTGAACTAACAGCCCTGATATATGACCATTATTACACTTAGGTCAATGACAATCCTAAAATCTAATGGGTCTTAGTTCTTGTGAAGAAAATGAATCCATCAGATAGCTTTAAAATAGAAGTATAGTCAGGGCAATTTAAGTAATTTAATTTCTCTAGAATCTGCGGATAAGTACGCCCTTCACTGACATGACAACAAGTTTGAAGGAACTGAATCTTTTCTTTTGGTACCAGGGATCAAATTCAACTCCTTGTGCTATGAGGCAGGCAGCAGAACCACTAAGCCAAATTCCCGGCCCTGAAGGAACTAAATCTTAAGAGCCTGGTTTTTAGAAATAGTAGATCTATAGCTGGGGATTTAGTGGCACCACACCTGCCTTGCAAGCACAAGGTCCTGATTTCAATACCTGGTACCAAAAAAAAAAAAAAAGAAAGAAAAGAAAAGGAATAGTAGATCTACCAGCCTCAGCAATGGCCTTGGCCTGTGTTCTGTGTACTGACCACACTATGAATTTTACTTTAAGACAAAGGGTTCAGCAGCTATTCTCGGCTCCCTATCAACAATTACAGAAGTAACTACCACCGCCTATGTGTTATGACTGTGTCTAGATGGACCCCCAAAGCCTCATACAGTCATTGGTGGAGCTTTTTCAGAGGTGCCTGGATCTAGAGTGAGACTGATTCATAGCGCGATGCTAGGCTCAAGGGCACTAGGATTAGGGCGTGAGTGCTACCTGCCCTGAGCAGTCTGAATAAGATAAGAGGCAGAAAGATCCTGTCAAGGTCTCTTGTTGCTTTTGCTACCTTGTGGGTGGGCACCATGAACTCTTTCTCCTCTGTGACACCCCTCTGCCAATAGACTTCTGGGTTCCCATTTTGTATACTGTGATAATCCATTGCTCTCATCTATTTCCTTGCTCAAATATCCCAGGCTTGGACAGCATGAGTCCCTTCCAGCTGGCTCCTATGAACGTCTGACATGTCTCCATCACTTCCTTCGTGGCACAGTAGGATGTTCCAGGCTCATTACTTCACCCCTGCCAGGAACCAGTCATGGTTTTGTTTTTAGTACCAGGGTTCAAACTCCGGACCTTGTTCTTTTAGGCAGGAGGTGGCACCACTCTGCTAAACCCCCAGCCCACCGTCACCCCCCCCCCACACCAGTCATTTAAGTAGCTTCTGCTTTTTATTTTTTTTACTTTTGGGGGGGTGGTACTCGGGCCCTTGCACTTGCTAGGCAGGCAGCAGAACCACTGAGCCAAATCCCTGGCCCAGTAGCTTCTACTTTATCCTCTGTGTGTTTCCATTTTGCAAAAATAAGCGGATCCTTGTCATGTGTATGTGTGTGGGGGTGCTGGGGATTAAACCTCACTAAAAACAACTCAACTCTTTCTTGTTTTCTTTTCCATTTTTGGTATTAGGGATCGAACTCAGGACCTTGCGCTTGTGAGGTAGGTGCGGTGCCACTAAACTAAATCCACAGCTCCTTGCACATTTTCTTATTCCTCATTTAATAGTGTATCATTCCTCTGCCATGTGCCACTCTGCCTTCCAGCCAGCCAACTGTGGACTGAAACCTCTACACACTGAGTCAAATAAACTTTTCCTCCCTTAACTTGTGGGTGTTGGCATTTGTCTCAGCAACAAGAAAAATAACTAAGACACGATGTATCTACATAATACAGTAAGTCTCTGACTCATGAACAAGTTCCACAGGCAAAGTGAGTCTTATATACCTGTGACACAAATGCATGATGTATATTGCTTTGGGCTTCCTAGCAGTCTTCTCCACCACTGCTTTTTGTCTTGCTTATGGACATCCTGGGTTCTGACTGAGCACTGTACCACCTCTCTGTACAGTAAGCACACAGTTGCGCAACTCTGATAATGTCTAGCAGACACGTGGGTGACTTCCACCATTTGTTAGCATCTACAAATGCTTTTTTTTTTGGTTATTTTTGGTACCGGGGATTGAACTTGGGTCCTTGAGCTTGCAAGGCAGGCCACCGAACTGCTGAGCTAAATCCCCGGCTACAAATGTTTGTAATGGGATATCCATTCGTATCTGTGAAAGTTCACAACTCAAATGTCTGCAAGTCGGGACCTTACTGTACATTGTATTGCTAAATCATATTCCCCAAAACAGAACCATACAACAACATATCACCCATTAGCAAGAGTAAAGTTCTACTATGTTCTCACAGAAGACTTCTTTTGAGACAGCATCTCGCTGTGTAGTTTAGCTGGCCTTTAATTCACTACAGACCCCAGGTTGGCCTCAAACTCGCCATGATCCTCCTACCTCAGCCTGAATGCTAGGATTACAGGAATATGCTACCACGCCTGGATCACACAAAAGACTTTTAACACGTTCACAATGGAGCCATAATTTGTATGTGTTGCTGTCAAGCAACCTGAAATGCCAGATCTGGAAGCCTGAAATGTCCCACTGGGTGGCTTTTTATTAATTTTATTAGCAAAAATACCAATTAAAGAGCTGGGGATTTAGCTCAGTGGCACTGTGCCTGCCTCAGAAATGCAAAGTCATGAGTTCAATGCCCAGTACCACCAAAAAAAAAAAAATTAAAGTGATTAGATAATAAAAATAAATTAAAAAAAGAATGGCTGGGGATAGAGCTCAGTGCAAAGGGCCCTGGGCTCAATTCCTATTACTAACGAAGAAGAAAAAAAAAAGAGCAAAAAAGAGCGTAAAAAGAGAAGTGCAACAGAGTACCAACTAGGTTGGCAGTCTTTTGATGGGTACTCAGTAGGGAGAAAGTTTTCAATTTTTATGTCGCATTGTTACAATTATTACAATGAGTAGCATATATGTTTAAAATTTTTACTTTTTGGTTTTTTTCTTTTTTTTGAGACAGGGTCTCACTTCATAGTTCAAGCTGGACTTCAGTTCATAATCTTCCTGCCTCTGCCTCCTTAAGTGCTGGGATTATAGACATGTGCCACTAAGGCTGAATGTACTTAAAATTTTTAAAGTTCTACCTATTAAATAACTTTTAAAGTTAAACTGAGTGCGGTGGCACACGCCTCTAATGCCAGCACTCGGGAGGCTGAGGCAGGAGGATTGCTTTGAGTTCGAGACCAGCCTGGGCTACATAGTGAGTTCCAGGTCAGTCTCAACTACAGAGTGAGACCCTGTCTCAAAAAAAAAAAAAAATCAATTTATCACTGATTTGAAAAATCAGCTTAATATTTCTGCATCTGGGTCTCTTTATCTGTAAAAGAATGACCTTCCCTAGGGTGGTGATATAGCTCAGTGATAAAGCACTTAGGAGCACTTACAAAGGTCTGGTGTTTAGTTCTGATACCCACTCCACACACACAAACACACAAAAGCAAGCAAGCACGCCTGTAATCCAGCACTCAGAAAGTTGAAGCTGGAAGATAGTTGCAAGTTCAAGGTCAACCTGAACTACATAGTGAGACCTTGTCTCGAAAAAATTATTAAAAAAAAAAAAATGGGGGGCCACTAGAAATGTAATTCCATGCAAAGGCCCTGTGTTTCAGTCAGTGCCACACACACAAAAAAAAACAGTAACAATTCTCATGGTTGTGCACAGAGGTACACAGTGCTGATACCAGAACGCTCTGTCACGGAAGACCCAGGCTCTCACTGAGTCAGTGGTACTACAATGGGGGTGACAAATATGGACAATACCTTTATACTCCCTTGCCAGACTTCCTAACTACTCCCTATCCCCACCCCTACTGTCCAAGTATCAGAAACAGTCAGGACAGATCAAGAGTTCCAGGCTGTGACCCAGAACTAACACCAAGCTAGTCTAGCTCAGAAGAAGCTTATGACCCAGACTCCTTGGAAATGGGGCCAACGGGTAATGCCAAGCTCAGCAAAACACTAATTATGAACCAGTGGACGGGAAGTCGGCTGCTCCTTTTCTAGGCCGTTCCGTGGACTCTCTTCCACCTCAAAGCCTGGTTAATGAAGCAGGGTGTTGCCATCAAACTCAATCTAAGTGAAAGGAACTATTCACCATCTGCCCAGGGTGCAGCAGACATCTTCCCCAAAGCCTCAGGTAATACAGCAGAACCACTTTTACGAAGTTCTCTCCAGAGCCCTCATTTCAAAAGGAAGTGAGAACAAGTTCAATGACACTGCAGGGAGTCCTCTGACGTCACCACCAGAGGGCAGGGAGGAGGAGTGTGAGGCAAAGTGGTTTCATTAGCCAAGATAGCAGAAGGGTTTGGCTCTGGCTTCTGAGTAATCCATCACCTTGCAACAAAATGACAAGAGCTTCTTTCCACCTTATTATTATTTTTTGAGACAGGGTCTCACGATGTAGTTCAGATTGGCCTTCAACTCACTACACAGCCCAGGCTGGTCTCAAACTCAAAATGATCCTCCTGCCTCAACCTCCGGAGCACTGGGACTACAGGTGTGCACCAGCATGCCTGGCTTCTCTTATTATCAAATGGAGACACACCATTGATTAATACTCCTGTACTCCTGTTCTTTTTGTTTTATTTTTTTGTTTTTTGAAACAGGGTCTTACTATATAGTTGAGACTGACCTGGAACTCACTTTGTAGCCCACGCTGGTCTCGAACTCACAGAGATCCTCCTGCCTCAGCCTCCCAAGTGCTGGGATTACAGGTGTGAGCCACCACGCCTGGCAGCACTCCTGTTCTTGAAACAGTTCTTACTTATCGCAGTGCTATTTATCTTGTAGAACTCCCTTTGTCTTTTCCTTTCTAATTACACAGGTAACAAGAAACATATGTCTGTGCTTTACAATAGTCACTGGAAGTTCAGTGGGTAAAACTATGACTTAACTGTCAAACACTTGAACTTAAATTCTTCTCTTTGTTTAGGAGCCAAGTGTTGCCATTTTCTATACTTAAAAGTAAAATACACAGGAAACGGTCCAGGAATTATAGGATCTGGAAGCTCTGGGTTTAATCCCCAGCACTAAGAAAAAAAAAAAAAAAAAGAAAAAGAATATAGGATCTAAAAAAGATCTGAGGGCCAGGGATTTGGCTCAGTGGTTCTGCCGTCTGTCTCGCAAGTGCAAGGGCCTGAGTTTGATCCCTGGTACCAAAAAATAAATAAATAAAATAAAAAAGATCTGAGACATTGACTGTATCCCCTCAGAGATAAGAAAACAGAAGACAGCTCAGCAACCTATGTGACTTGTCCATGGTAATACTCTGGCTGATGGCAGAGTCTGGACTAAAACCCAAGTCTCAGAGACCAACTCATAGGCAAACCTGGTGTAAGACCAGACAATGTAAATGCAAAGTCTGGGATCAGGTGGAGCAGTAAACAGCAAATCACGTGCTTACCTGTTTGGATCCCTGTTTCTTGTTCTAGTTGTTGGTAGAGTTTGTTTGAATAGTCTGCCATCTTCTGCTCAATGGTCAAGTGCCTGGCAGTGCTCAGGATGCCAGCACAAAACCTGGTAGAGCCAGCAGCTAGCCTGCAGGATGAGTGCAAATGCTATTAGGTAGGCTCAGGTATTGTGAATACAAATTCAAGGTTCCTCATTACAGTACTATCTGTAATAGCAAAAGATGGAAACACGCCTGGGGACATAGTTTACTTACTTAAGAATGCACAAAGCCTGGGTTCAATCCCCAGAACCACACCCAAAAGAAAAGGAGGGAAGTGGGCGGGGGGGGGGGGGGCGAAAAAGCAGAA